AATGATAATTTGAATTTCGAAGACCTAAAAGAATGTTTTTGTAGCAAATTCAAATCCTAATATTTGGGGCATTACAAAAACCATTTTGACTTTATATTACAACGAACAATCATAAAAATGAAAGAAGAGATGTTCTCACTATCTTTGGCACCACGGTTTATTGAAAGTTCTTATTTAATGACCAACACGAGTGTCCGTGAGTAACTAGACTGCATAAGAAATAAAGTTAACTCAAATTCTATTAAATTTGTTTAGATGAGATAGAAAAACTCAGTATCTTAACTCGTTTGACTTATTCTATTCTTCTACGATATTCCAAAATATGACTAACAAATTTTGAAGTGAAATCGAGAGCCCGTGCTCTAAAATGGCAAGGAACCAATTAAAATGATTGTTTGTCATTTTAACAAATTACATATTCGTTTGACTTTATATTACCTCATACGTTGATTAATAAAAAAAATAAAAAAATAAATTGAATACACATTCTCACTGTCTTAAATTTTTTTCTTAATATAACCATCAGTTGTATTCATTATGACATGGAAGATTTACAAATTATTTTATTATGCATGGACCATGGTTCATGTATCTTCGAGTAAACTTCATAGTACGTACATCATTAAACACGGCAAATATGTGTCATCCTCATGCATTATCTGGATCCATACGGTCTAAATTACTGAGGTTGAGGTTTTAATAATTTATCCCACTCACTATATAATATATCTACACAAAATACCTTTTGAACTACTAATTAAGGATCACATTAATTTAACCAACAGGTACTGCCACAGTAAGCTGCAGACTGTCACCGGTGATTCGCCCCTGATTGTCTATCATTAAAGTAAGAAATTGAGTTTTGGAATAGTGAATTTTTGAAGAATGTGAAGTTAAAAAATAGGAAAAGAATTTTAGGTTTACGTACAAAATAATTTATTATGAGAACATTTGATTAAAAATGAGTTTAAAAAAAAAAAGAATTTTCAAATAATGGTAGTCAAACATGGCGTCAAATGTTAGTTTAGTGCTTTTTAGCACGAGTGCCTACTAAGTATTATGTCAACGTGTTTTAAATCAAAATCCATAGCAAAATTTCGACAGCTAACTTTCTCTTTAATACTAGATCAAATCATCACAAAAAGTTTGATATCTAAACAAGAAGCCAAAAGTGATATGAACTTGATTGTGTAGATTTCGCAATCTCCCATGCTATATAATTGTCAAATATAAATAACATACATTGAAAGAACAATATAGACCAAAAGAAATGTTAAAAAAGAATTATTATGCATTGTTTTGTGGCTGAACAGCTTCGTGTCAGCTGTCGACGGCATGTGAATTGCCTTCATGGAAAATTTACTCCAAACAATAAACTTTCCTTAATCGTTGTAGGAATAAACTTAAAAGATACACATGTTTGGTTCTTCCAAATTGGATCTTTCTCATTTCTGAATGCAAATACATATGGTGTGCTCTTGATTTAATGTAAATTGTAGCCAAAATCAACTCGTCTTTCAAATAAATGAGGGGAATAAGACCCCTCTATTTATGAAGAGCACCTTATGCATAATAGAGATCGTTTTTATATTTATAGAGTAAATTTTTTGTACACTTCCATAATGCTCTTTATTTTTATTTTTGTTTTCAAGAAAATGTTTATTGATTTTTCATCTTTTTTTATTTAGCATTTTTTGGGTATTTAAATGACCAATCAATTCAAATATAATTGAAATAATTTAATAAATAAAATATTAAAATAAAACTCTCCAAAATTGGACTCGAAGACATAGAAAGAGTTAAAACTCAACTCAATATTTAAGATCTTTTGTAAATTAGAACATTGTAAAATTTAATTTTCTCAATTTAATAAAATTTATTCATACATATGTTTTTAGATAAAAGTCCAATTAATAATATTATGGGCTTGTTCAACAAGAATTTTGCTACTTGCAGAAGCGTTTCCTCAGAAAATTATATTAATTTTTGTTTGAAAACTAATTTTCAAAAGAGCTTCTTATTTGAAAAGTATTTTTGGAGGAAGTTACATTAAATTGACTTCCTATAAAATTTTTCTAACTAGAACAAGTACTGTCATAAATTTAGTCAAATAGGTTCAGAAATAACTTTTGTGTTTCAAAAGTTCATTTTAACTTCCTAGAAGTTATGCTAAACGGGCCTATAGATACTTACAAAAAGTTCATAAATATTCACACAAGATAAAAATACAATATTAAAAACAATTTTACTTTTTTCATGGTTTAAAGTTGGATTTTTTTTTAATTGTTTAAACTTACTGCTTATCGAATTGTTTTGTCTAGAGCAATAATAAGATCACCATATGACTCATACATGTTGAATTTCACATGTGAGATTTAGTTAAATAATTTCCGTCAAAACGAATTAAATTTCAGCGAGTATTTTTTATCTCTTATTTAGCACGAAGTTATTAGCTCTTTTTCTCTAGGTTCAAATCATTCATATTTCTGTGGATGAATTACTATTGGTAGAGCAATTCTAACTCGATATGAGTTTGTATAAAATCATGTTTTGATATAGAGAAGTGTTGGAAAACAATGGACATGAAGATGGAAATGCCAAATGGAATAGCTTTGCAAGACTTGAATACGTTGATGAACGTTGTCCTTTAATGATATTTGCCTCCTCTCCAAATATTTTTCAATTGTTCAAATGGCAAATAGTTGAGATTTATCAAGCCTAAAAAAAGAATACTAAAGTATATGTAATTTTTTTCAAAATGAACCTGGAGAAAACTTGAATGTGTTTTATATGATCTCATTGATTTGAATATGGATTTCTAGGGTTAATTCATTGATTGAGAATGGAATACTTACTCATATTTATAGTATTTCAACAATACACCATGAAATCAAGCCAATTTTTCATGTAAAGTTGGAATACAGTCATCAAAAGACACCAAAACAAACTAGAAAATAAGCCATAACGGTTAGTTTCCTACCCATGCGATCGCATGGCATGAGGGAATTAGGAAGAAGGCCTCAATTCCCGTTTGTGGACTCCATCGGATCGCATGGGCAAAAAATGGCTCCACCAATTTTCATTTTATATGCATTCACTTTATTCGTCCATAATAAGGCCCAAAATGTGGCCCAACTACCAAATCACCATTATAATATCATTTCGAACAATAAGTACACGGTAAGCTACATTCCTCTAATTCCCCATGTATTTAAGAAGGTTAGGGTTTTCACGTCCCTTCCTTGTTTGAAAACATTCTTTGATACTATATCGAGTAGGGGCAATGCTGAACTTCCTATTTTGTGTTTCGGTAGGACCTAAAAATGCTACCGAATTTGTTGATTTTACCAAAAATAAATAAATTTTTTCTTCCATCATTCGTTTTATTTAATACAAATAAATTAATTTTAGTCAAAAGTTTTAACAAGCTGTACTCAAAAAATTTAGCAACTACACGAGGCCATGAGTGGAGAAAAACTTGCTGTCCACTATGCTGTGACCTATCCATGTAGTTGATTTGTTAAAAAAAGACACCTTCAAGGTTTGAAGTCCTTACTTCATTTTTAGTTTATCAAGTAATAGACATCATCAATTGTATATAAAAATTTTCTTGATCTGAATAATCATGAGATAGTAAGGTATATGTTGACATCTGAATCTAGTTGAGATGTTGTGTGGACAAGATGAGCCAAATCTAGTCTCAGTTTGCACACTCAACCAGAGCTAGAATACTGGGCCTAAATAGATGGAAGAGGGCCGGTTAGAAACACTACGATACCTAAATTAGTCGTGTATTTGAGAAGTGAAATATACTTAAATACACTATCGTAAGCCAACCACCTCTAAAAGCTCATTTAACCATATAAAATTCTTTCAAAAAAGTATTTAAACATGTTTAAAAGCAACTTTTCATTCTTAGAAATAGTTTTCAACTTTTCAAAAGTTTCGTCAAATGACAAATGGGTCTTTTGACTCCAATTTCAATTTTTTTTCCTTCTCTCCATCTATATTGATTTGTGATGGGGTCTTTAGGCTCCTAGACGTTGAAATGTACCACTGAGTGGTCTACAATATCTTAGACAAATTATATATAAATAAACTCAAGATTATGCTGTCCCAACAAGTACCTAGCAATAGAATCTCAACAAAATCACAAAGGTCCAAAATAAAAAAGTTGAAAAGGAATTTATTAAGAGGAAAAATAAGTTACTGGGAATTTATTTACCTAATGCACATGGGCTCTTGCTTCGTGAATAAAGAAATTAACTCAGAATCTTTTTCCGTCATTACGTATTATTATCGTTTATTTCATATTTACTATACTGAACTTGACAAAATTAGATCTTATGTTTATGACCTCGACTTCTTGTACTAGACTCTTCTCAAACACAAAATTACTTCATAAATTCCTTTTGTAATGCTTGGAAATGGAAGCTAGAATTAACGTTGATATCTAAACTTCTTTATGACGTTTCGACTGCGTTTACAATATATGATTTGTGCTATGATTAAAGCAACCTAGAGAGGATTGAATAGGTTTATCCAAACTTTTGATTTGTGCTTTAATTGTGAAGTAACATCCTTTAGTCTCGGTCTTTTGCCAATCTGCCATCCAGAAGTCAAGGTTGCCTTTGCTAGAAACATTCTGAATTTTAATCCATCTTCTTGCAATGAAGTAGGTTGGGATAGGTTGGAATCTTATAAAACAACCGAGAATGCAAACTCAATTTTTGTGAACGGATGATTTAACTCGAACTACCGCTTAATCCTGTACAGTACAGAACTATAGTGTCTAAAGCTCAATGGCTCAGTGAATATAATCACGTAAGAACCTTTCCTAGAAAACATATATGAAACTAAGAGCAAAGAAAGAATAAACGCAAACATTTAGGCCCCGTTTGGTAGGGATTTTTTGCCCCAAAAAATTGATTTTTTGACCGTTATTTTACTATTCAAGCCGTAATTTTTGACTTCTTCTCTCACATGTGGACCCCACTTTTCTTCTAACGGTCAAAAAATCAATTCTCAAAATCCCTACCAAACGGGCCCTTAATATCTGCTTGGAACAACTAAACAGAAACCTGGTTTAGCACTACTGCTTACACTAAAACTCAGTAGAATCTTGATTTTTGAGCATTCATTCAATGTACTGGCCATCGTATAAATTCAAACACTACTATAATTCAGGATATTCTAGGCTTTGTGTCATCCTTGAAGTTGATAGTAATTGGAGTTACCATACATTGTTGCTAGCTTCAAATACATAGAATCAGGTCCCCTTCTTGAGATCATTGCCTGCAATAACAAGTACGTAGTTAAACAACTGCAAACAAATATAAATTTCTCTTAGTAGATCACGTGACTGTCACAGAGTAGATGCATCCGTAATATATTTCTAAGAAAGGTAGAAGCTTCCTTTTTACCGAAACAATCCAAGCTCACTTCCTAATAGCTTAATGAGTCCTTCCATACTAAGCCTACGTTTGGATACAATTTATATATCGGTTTATGAATTCAAAGGCAAAGTCAAATATTAATTTCAACCACACATTCATAACTACTAGTCATTATTATTTACATATTTCATGAAACCAATTTCTATTTATAAATCATTAATAAATATGCCGAACAGAGGCTAAAATCTGCAATACTTGGTTAAAAATATGCAAGACTTAGGGAGTAACTTACAATACGAGAGAATAGCAAACGTAGCCTGTATGGTGGCAAGCACAAGCAAGGTAATAGCAGCAAATACTGAAATGAGTGCCCATGGACTGTTGAAATATCTTCGCCTTAATATTGCCGTCCATCTATTCCTTCTGTGGCCACAATGATGGTTCACAATGTTGAAAATATTAGAATACGAAAACTCATCAGAAATTATGATATTCTTGCCTAGCTCGTGAATTACATGAAAAACCATTTCATCGCTCCCCAAAAGGTTGCTAATAATTCCGCAACGGCGCAGAAGTTTTGCATCTTCAGGGGAATGGACGAGACAATGCATAAAGAATACATAGTCGGTCACATATTTTTGAGGACTGCCTGTGAGGTAGTACTCATATGCCATCAGATTTCGGAACAATGATTCTGTTGAATCAGAAATTTCCCATTCTGGAATGATCATTGCCTTTTTATTGAATTCAATATGAAATGAACTCTTATCTTCCGACTTTTTGAAGGAAATCCCTACCTCTTTAAGCTCTAGAGCTGAATTTATATTCGCCACGTTATCTGTATTTCCAGATTGCAAATGAGAGAATTTTTTTGCAAATGAAGAACACTGGATGTCATGTACAATGCCAAGAAGATGGCGACCATTAATACGGGCTTCAGGAAGATCCTGCACCGGGAAAATCCCATGTTGTAGTAAAGGCCATATTAGAGAATTGATGCTGTCTCGATCATTGATCTTGATCATGTCGAACAAACGATCAATGATGAAAAATGGAATCTGATTCTCA